TGGATTTAATTTCATTGAACTTTTAAAACTTTTTTTAATGTTGCTTACTTTGCAACATTCTAGTATTGATACACTCTGGTTCTTTCGGTAAAGTCACGTAGGTAAAAAAAACACGACGTTTCGGTCGCAACACAAGCGTCCGTCTTCAGGTGAGAAAAATATGATCTGCTGTTGTGGCTTTATATAGGCACGTGAGGGGAGAGGGAAGGGAGGGAATTTGGCTGTAGGAGTTCACAGGGGAGAGGGGAGAGGGTTTGTGGCGTGCATGGGTGGGTGGTGTTACGGAAATTAGCAAGTAAATGGACTTGTAGTACAAGTAGTAATTGGACGACGACAACCGGGTGGGTGAGTGAAAATCAAAGCAGTTAAAACTTGACGTGGTTTATCACATCCTTCCAATGATTGCTCAATCTTAATCCATCTTCTCGATTAAAGTTGTTTTTGTTTATCCGGATGGCTTCAAGAACAAATCTCTGAAGGTGGCCCGAGGGTTTGCAGAGCAACTTGGTCTCGAAGAAAACAATGTCGTGTGCCCACAGCGTTGAAACAATGATCCGCCACCGCCGAGGAGTTGGTTCTGCCGTGTTTCAAATCCGCTTTGTGTTCGCGAACCCGGTCTCAGACCCACCTCTTCCCCCGGTGCCAGCCCCCACCTGTCCCTGCACGCCACAAACCCTCCCCCCTCTCCCCTGTGAACTCCTTACCTTTCCCCTCCCGTGCCTATATAAAGCCACAACAGCAGATCATTTTTTTCTCACCTGAAGATGGACGCTTGTGTTGCGACCTGAAACATTGGTTTTTTTTTTCTACCTACGTGACTTTACCGAAAGAACCAGAGAGTATGGATTCCTGCAGTCACGAAAGCTTCAAATCAAGATTCTAGTATTGCTCATCAACAAAATAATTTGGCATATTTGCCCACTTGACAACTTGATTTGATTGGCTCTTTTGGCTAGTGATATACCTACACGGGCTGACCCAAAAATGTTTTATGAATAAGGTTTTTGGATCGTGACTCTGCCAGGGAAGGTATACCTCGCCCTGGAGTGGAACGCCGAGTCAAGTCCCTTTAGGTCTTGTTTGGACCTTTCAGGTTTTAAGCAACCCTTTGATGAATTTCACCAGTTTATTGTTGGGCAAGTCCGTAATACTTAATACAAAAGTTTTGTGCATGTTGCATCATTCTTCCTGAGTTTTCTTGCTCTCTCATTGCAGACAGACTGCTTTTGCATAAACGATTTCCATTGTAGTCAGAAAGTATTAACACAACAGGAAATCCATAGTGGTGTGATTAATAGTAATAGGTTCCTTGAGTTTATTCAATGTCTACGACCGATGGTTAACAGACATCAGGCTTTAAACAGACAAGGGTTCCATAGAAGCAAGCAGTTGGGTGTAGGGGAACCGTAAAGATGTTTGTTAACATGTCGGCTTACGCGACCAATATCGATTATAGAGGTTTTTTGGGTTAGATTGTGTAAATATAAATGTCGTTAAACCTGCCACCAGAACACCGGTGTGCTGAACTAGTAATTAATTGGCATGTTTTGTTTACGTGACGCACCTTACTAATTGGCTGCGTTGGATAGTTGCGGGTTTAATGACACATATTTCTGCGATTTAACCCAAAAAAACTTATGATTAAAGATGTTTGTACGAGGGGGTTGTGGGAGAAATTAATACGTCTAATTTCTTTCTCATCTACACACTTGTACTTGTGGTTCATTCTTGCAGCGTGTGCAAAAGCGCCGAGCCATGCAATAGCGTCCTGGGTGGTCACGCATCGTTTTCGTAGATCTCCGCTGAACTTAGTCGACACTCATCAACAGTGTGTAACATTGTACAGTACAATGCCACAGCTGCAGTTTGGGTTGGAATTAAGACCCAAACGATGGAGGTTGTCTGCACAAAGACCTTGCCCTGTCCGGAACCTCCAAGGCCCACAGACGGCTTGGCAGGTTGAAGCCAGTTGGACAGACTTACTGCACGATCCCCAATAAAGAACTTCTTTGGTGCGCAGTTCCATGCCGCCGAGTACGAGATAGCGAAAGCATGACATCCTTAAAGTTGAAGCATTGCATGCCATGTTGAAGCAGCCAGCGTGGAAAGGAGGTTACCAAGCATTTTGACCGTTGCTGCCATCGTCTTCAGATGTTTCCAAAAGTCTAGCATCATCACACCCAAGTAGACGGTGGTTGTGCTTCGTGCCTCACTCTTTAACCATTCAGGTAGATATTCGGCTCTCTGCGATGGTGTAGGTGGAACACACTGAAGACTTGCTGGTGCTCCGCTGGAGGTGCCATGACTTGTGACAAATAAATGTTTAGTCATTGTTGTTGTGTTACATAACTGTGGCATTGATCGCATTGAAACACAACACTGGACACTTTGGAGGGGTGTAGGATTTCCCGAGGGTTCTCCAGAAACATTGATAAATCCCTACACTGGAGTGATTTATTTCAAAATCAGCATCTACAATTGCAAACAAAGTTTGGGTGGTGTTCAACCTGTGCCAGTGGTGGAAATTCCACATTCCAATGGCAGCAGCCAGCAGATTCATGTGATTACTACAATTAACTTCGCACAAGGTGGTTCTTATATTTTCTTACCTCCGTGAGAGAATGCACTGAGATATCATTCACACCTTTCAGTATTGAATTCTCAAGCTTCAATTTGAGTGGACAATTAGTCAGATAATACTATGTTACATACCTCTCCCTCCACATGTAAAAAATCTATGATTTTATGCATTAGATTACCCCTAGTCTCAACACGAAGAAACGCAGGACAGGATTTGACATTCATCGTCTCACCAGTCAGGCTTGCTTGAACCAATGCTGGTGAACTGTCAGATGTTTATAGGCAACGACCTTCTGTTAGATATGGGTCCTAGTTCAATGCAAATCTACGTAGTACATGAAGACAAACTAATAATGAGTGCCTGTCGAGAAAAGTAACCAAATTACGAGGTATAATTTGTGCATATTTACTTTGTTCGTGATATCTTCCATAACGATTATAATTATTATTTTGTGTTAATGGTTATTTTTTGATGGGCATTATGAAGTGATAGCTCTCACTATAGCAGTGTACTTACCTGGCAAAATACAGTGAAGCAGAGTTCATGACTGTATATGCAAGAGAGCTATTGAGGCAACAAGAAATGAATCGCCTGATCTGATTGAGCCATGACAAGCACTATTTAAGGGCATTTTTTTCTCAATTTGATGAAATTATTTTACAGTTCATACCATTTTCTGAAAGGCTTTTGTTGAAATTATGTTACTTTAATGTGGTATTTATCAAACTATGCATATAAGCATTCATATGAGTGGAATGATGTTTTGCATGACTTAACAGCGATGAACTAATTTTACTAGATTTCCCTTTAATGGATCTTGTTATGTTTTCCTGCACAAGCACACAGATAATTGTTTTACTCGCATTCATATATTTGTCATTTTCAACCCCACTTGTGTACAGTACATGGTATAGTATATTATAGTATTAAGTTGATTAAAAATGTTGAACTTTAGTTCATAGGCGTTTGGACTGAAAATCCTGATGGAATATGGACTATAGTGATAATATTTTCTTTCTCTACATGTATTTATGGCCATTGCTGTTAATGCCCTCATTCATGACTACTTGTCATATGAGACTAAATTAAAGCATTGCTCTTCGGGGTTCAGGGTTATCATTGTAGTTAAGAGCTAGAGTTACGGCTCGGCTCCTATTGTCGATGTGGAAATGGGGTGTTGACAGAAAGGATGTGCAGCAATCCTTCGAAAACCGAGGGGATTACGTTTCTGGAAAATGCCGCCGTAGGCAAATTCGTGGTTGGTAAAGTACAGGGTTATGGAAAATAGGTTCGAGGCTGCGGTCAGACTTGTCATGGCTTAAATTAAATTGCCTGTTTCTTCACTAGACACGAATAAAATGCAGTGAATTATATAATAACATAGTGAAACATAAATAAAAATTACATTAACTCGATATACCTTTAATTTTGAGGGTATAAGTCTATGATTATGACGAGGACAATGAGATAATGGGGGAAGGGTTGGAGGAAGGAGGAGGGGCTCAGCCCACCCTCCCGTTCTTCCTCCGGTTCATCAGTGAACGATGAGTGGGCAGACGAGGGGAGGCAGGCACAGAGGCAGGAATGGACAAGGAACACCACCAGCAACACTATCCCAAATAACATCACTTTTTTTTAAATGGTTAGAATGATAGACTCATTAACCCCAAAGAATCGCCCCACTCTCACTACGTACAAGCCTAAATAACACTTGCACTTTACTCCTCAAACCCATCACTTGTCTTTCTCTCTGGACAGCTGATAAGCTACGCAGCGCTACGGGTGGCACGGAGGAGAATGGGACCCCGCAAAATGTTTAAATGCTTGTGGCAGACCTCTGCTTACCCGGGGATACTCAAAATTTCTAGGCCGCATTTGGTCAATTGGTATACAGATAATAAACCATGAATACATGAATTCCGCAGTTGGCAAATCCGTGGGTGGAGAGGGTTTGCTGTATTTTGTGGAACCCACGTACCAATTGAACATTGTTGCTGATGTCATTTAACATGCCAAACACTAATTACATTTTTCTGCAATTAATCCATGAGTCTCTTTCTCCTTGGTATTGGGTGTAGCTACCACGGTTGACCACAGATTAAAGGATATGCAATGTTTCCCCCATGTCAGCATGGATTATGGAAGTCCTGCTGTATTTCCTGTGTAGAGATTAACCCATTTCTTTTTCTTAACAGTTATCAGCTTACATTGATAATTATCCACAAATGAGGCTCGATATGTATCTTAAATAATGGGTGATAAATTAAAATGTTCTCCCACATTCTACAGTTTACTGCAAACGTAATGCATTTATCTGGTGTTTGTCATGCGCAGTGATACTCAATGCTTTGCGTTGTTTAAAAGTTTACATGTTTGGTCATTCTCATGTTTTATTATGTGTGTATTTTTTCTCCTGCAGGCATCCTTCTTGACCAAGAAACTGAATATCGCTGGGAAAAGAGTAAATCTGGCCATTTGGGTGAGAATAATTGCATTTGAGACATTGCACAGTGAGTTGTTTGGTGATGCTGCATTGTAAGTAGTCCATAAACACATAACAAAAATATGACGCCTTTATCAATAACACTGCATTAATCCGTCAATCTCCCTTGAAAGTAAAAGTATGTAGAAGGTGACATGTTCGGGCAAGGTCCCGTTCACAGCACATAGAGAGGCCGGAGAGGTTAGAGAGGTTGACCTCTGTGAAGAAGGACCATTGCTCAAAACGTCACCTACTGCTTACTTTCCCTTTGAAGGCAGTGTTATCGACGATATGTGTTCTTCAAAATACAATAAAAGCAAGATGTTGAGATTTTATGCCATGGTCCCACCGCTACGTCTTGTGCGGTAGTGGCAGGGCATAGCTGATGCATGGCTCCTGCCAAGCACTGTGAACGCCACATATTCCAGTTGAGCACAACACGTGCTGCAGATTAATTAGAATGCACTGCTAGAATTCCACACTGGCTGATGAAGCTACTGCTTTGGAGTTAATTTGTTGTTTGATTGTTACGCAGTTGGTTTGTCGATTATGTTATATTGTGGTACTTTCAAGTTTGCTGAAAGCAAAACTTTAGACTGGTCCAGTGCCTCAGAAAAGTAGTCTGGCACCGCCAATTTGAGGTACTTATCTTTTATAAAGGTGTTCATTTATAGTCCTTAACATTTGTGTTTAATTTCTGGATTAACTTATGTAATAAAGTTGTGCTATAATTTTGATTCTCAAGGAAAGCACTACAATAAATGTCAAAATAAAAACAAATGTAGTTCAAGCGTTTGTCACAAAACATCGCATGATAGTAGTTTTTCACTTCCCTGCTCCTTGTCTGTTTCCACTTCCTTTAATGTGGCCTGGCACTCTAAAATTACTTGTCCCCTGTGACGTGTTGTCATAAGTGAGCTTTGGGTTAATGCGAAGCGAAATATATGGAGTGAGAGGCCGCAGAGGGGTGGAGCGAGAAGCAGAGATGGAGATGGCACAGGAGACATGAGCATGGATTTCAAGCTGTCACTTCCTCCTACTCTGCTCATTTCTCCCCTGTCTTTCTTGTGCTGTTTATCTCTCTCTCTAAGCTTCTCTCTCACACCATACCCCCTCTCATGCTCTGTGATTATCTCAATCTACACACATCTGGACCAGTTGTTCATCTGCTTTTGTCACTATACATCTCCGCATGGTATTTCTGCTTCTGTCACTTAATTTTCATGGCAGAAAACAGCATTTTCTGATCTAAAGTTTTCTCAAATACAAACGTTCAGGGTTTCCAGTCCCCTGAAGAACATATTAAAATGTTACTGTTTTATAAACCTCAAGCAGGCAATAATTTTTATCCACATACCTTCTCTTCAACTTGGTGTGTTGATGAACTTATGCTGGGGGCGGAGCCAGGCCACGCTGATAGTATAAGAGGGGCCCCGAGAGGGGACCTCGGGGCTGTCGTTTGGAGTGAGATCCCCATCATGCTGCTGGAGTCTTCACCGTCGTGTCCGTCTTCACCATCTCGGTGTCGCCAGTCAGGCAGTCTACCAGCTGTCCTGACTGGGAACCATAGTCGACTATAGACGATTTATTTGGAAGTTAACCTGTTGGTGCGTGTTAATTAACAGAGTGCCTCCAACTGTTAGTGTCTCCGATTCAGTCACTACATATGTACTTGTACAATTTGTGCTTGTACTCTTTATTTACTTATTGTTAGTGACTTGCTTACTTAAAAAAACATCATTTTTGCTCTTATGTCAGTTTTTTGTACTATTTGTTTATTAACTCGCTGACCCACCCCTACTGGACAAAGAGCTTCATAGCTCATCAGATTCCACCAGCCTAAATACAGACTCTGATTCTCGCAACTGATAAGACTCTTGCTTGTTGAAATCTGTTCAGATCTTACTTGCATTGAACCATTGCTTCTGTTAAGATGCCCTCCCAGAAGGGCATCTGGCCAATGCGTTGGCGAGATGTTAACTAGCTTGCCTGGTATACAGGAGGTTGAGGCTTCTATCCCAACCCTGACGCCTGTATTTTAGGAGTTTGCATGTTCTCGTGATCACATGGATATTTATCCGGGTTCTCTGGATTTTCCCTCCACATTTAGAAACATGCATTTATATTATTTGGCTGTTATACATTTCCACTTGATAAGCCACTTCGTTAAGCTATTGTTTGTGCGACTGATTACAAATGATAGTTCAGTAAGGCCCTTTGAGCTATATAGCTGAGTCTGCCTTACTTGGTGAAATAACAAAAGTTTATAGTTTTGTTTTTAGTTTACATTTATTTGTTTATGTGAAATAAAAAAAAACGGTATCGAGAGGGGGCATTAGTTATTTTGTAATGGACTTTCTCCACATTAACTCTTCATGATTATTATTTTATAATACTTGGCAGTATCACACGTAACATCTTTTTCTGTAATGACATAAAACAGTTTAATATTGATTTGATTTCATCTATCTATCCATGTGCTGGATGTTTGGTTGCAAGAGGCCTGGTGATACAGGGGTGAAACAAACTGTGTGCACATGTGCCTAGAGATGTACAGCTATTCACGTGTCTTATAAATCCCATTCCATTGCAAAGGTGGTTGTCCGTCCAGCCATTATGCGTAAAGTGTTAATTAGCTTAACATGTAGTTACCGCACAAACAACGTTTACTTTGTGGATAATAATATGAATGCCTCATGCAAACAGAAATTTGTGATGGTGGCAAGCTCCTTATTGCAACAGATATTTGCCTTCAAATAATGTAGCGGATGTGACCACTGCTGGGTATCGCCCACCGGACATTGCAGTCGTGGCCAAAAGTTTAGAGACCAAAAAATATACCAAGCAGTGCACAAAGATAGTAATATTTGTGTATGCACGCATAAGGGAATGTTTATTTTAAATGGCACACTGCTTGAAGTCTGGAACACACACCGTACCACTTTCAGAATTGGCACAACAATAAACGCATTTGCAGCAGCGGGAGCATTTGCAATGTTATCTGAAGCTTCCTTTTTTTACAAGAACAATATACAGCCTGATGAAAGGCACATTGAAACAATACAGTTACCTCCGTGAATTGGAAAATCTACCACTGCACTTGCGACTTCTACACAGCACCAATCTGAAAAGAAGAATAACACGAACTCAGCAGGTCAGTCAGTAAGTTTATATCGGCTAAGGCCCATTGAGCTAAGAATATATTTTTCAATGGTGACCTGGCCAACACGACTGATGTGATATTGCCAGCATATTACATGGCCGGGGACGATTTATAGGGGCTGAATAGAACAAAAGGAGGGAAATTGTATAAACATGGTTAAATAAACAACCATAACTATATACATTGGAAATCTAGTAAGTAGTCCAAATTAACATTATGCATGAAACTTCTGAGAGAAACTCGCATATAGCAGAATTACAATTCCCATTTTGCATTAACATTCTCAAGTTCCAGTCACAAAGAGCTATAATGACGACAGTCAAAAGTGTGGCAGAAATGGCCATAAATTAATGCAGATCAGTTCAATGCAGATCGGTTCATTTGGAAGAGGCGAGTGAAAGCGCGGACACATTCTCGAGACCTAAATGTACTACATCGATTTAGTTTGCGACAATAAACAAAGAGGGTGGAAGCTGATAAAGGGAAGTTGGATTAGATTCCCCACTCCCAAAAAAATAATGAGTTTAACAGATTGTACATGATATGTAATAAGTCTGGAGTACAGCCTTTCATGAAGGTGGTGTGTATGTTAAGCTCATTGTGCTTTGTTACAGATTGCAGATCTTTAATTTAACACGGTGTTAAGTCCCTATTTTGGAAGAATAGCTGAAGCCTATTTTTTATTGGGGCATTATTCAAATCAATCTCCCTGTTTTTCCATGCATGTGAAAATATTTTTCGAGTAAATTATTTGCAGCAGCTCAGCATTTTCAATCGGGGATTTGTTTTAATATGCACAGCATTTAAATCGCCTGGTAGAGACTGCTGTCCCATAAATTCTGTGTCTGTATAATTTATCTTTCATAGTGCATTGTTTAATTAGTTTCAGGGTGTCAGACCGTTTCCATCACCGGAAGGATGTCCCTCCAATTAGTCTTGCTTCAAGGTGTTTTATTATGCTCTCTTTATGTGCTGGGGATGTGTGCGATGCAGTTTTTTTTATGGTTTATTGAAAGGGAAAAAAAATCGACACCGAGGAGTTGTAGTGTCTATGTAGCTGTCAACAGCTCGTGCGTGCACTGTTGCCTTTAATGTATGTGGACCATTGAGTGAAGATAAGTGTGTTCGTGATGGATGAATGTGCAAGGATCGGATCTCCACACGGAGGCAGCTTTAGGATGGACGCTTGTTGGGTGATGATCACCAAAGCCCGCGAGGTCAGACTAGACCGATACCTCACGTCCATGACCAATTCAAATAATGCTCGGCCCTTCTAATGTTGGCTACGTGCCCTTAGTTGCATGTATTATCTTACTTTTTAATGGTTCTGTGCTGTTACAACTGTGCTCTTAAACTTGCCATGGGTAGTAGTATTGTGCTCCTTCGTCACTTCACTCATTTTTGTTTCATTTTGAGTAGTGCGTTTATAGATTGGTTTCAATGTAATCTTTCATATATTTAGGATATTATAAAGTTAGGGTTTCACATTAATCATGTTTTATTTTTATTTAGTCTGTGAAATATGAGGATGGTGCGGGCTATCTTTTAGTTTTAACAGAACTGAACAAAACTTCACAGGCCTGAGAGTTGGAGGAGAAGTGGTCTCATACGAGTCTAGTTGAGTATTTTTATTATTATTCGGGGGAAAAATATATAACGGATGCAAATACCTCCAATTTGAGTTTGTGGCTTGCCTGAAGTGCATTGCCTATGTTGTGTATTGAATTACGACGCTGAGGCAGGTCTTTAAGTAAGCGCTTGCGTCGGTTTATTAACAACGGTTGGTGACTGGTGACAACTTCCACCAGAGGTAGGTGCCCTACACTCGGTCCTTCATGTGGACCCTCAGCTCTGTCCCTAGCCTCGGCAATCTCTTGGGCTCTCACTCGAGTCGGATCGGGGGTTCAGCCAACACCGACCGACCGAGGAGAGCAGCACCTTTTACGACTACAGTCGGCTTCTCTCCAGACTCCCTGAGCTCTACCCCTGGCTGTCTTCTTCAACCGCTCTCCATTCCGGGCTCCCACAACGACCCCGCTTTCATCACGGGGCTCCCCTTAAGCACCCCCAGGTTACATGACGTCATCGCACCTCACAGCGCGTATGACGTCACGTCCCCATACTACTCCTCTACACCTGGAAGGATGCCCTGCTAGTGGTGGCTGTCGCCTTTGCCAGGAAGGGTGGGACATTACAGGTGCTTTGCTGTTATTTGCCAGACTTGATTTTGTAAATGAAAAGGGCTATAATCTGTACACACTTTGAATTTTTCTCCAAGTTGGTCTCGGAGAGGAATATATGGAACAATATTGTTGCCAAATTCCATGAAAGTGCAGATTCCCCTAGCATGATTGAATGGGATGCATAATTTTGTGTTGAATTGTTGGAAGGGATTATCCAAGCCAGCAAACTTTTACAATACGACAAAAAATCAAACAAGGTGTTAACGATTGTGCAAACGGCCATCACTTCACATTATAACATCCAACAGTCACGTATGAGTCGTGACCAATTAACCGGGCACATGCAATGCAGTATTTGCATGGTGTACCTATAATTATCTCTGAATATTAATGTTTATTCATGGTGGAGCTTTTTTAATCTGGGTACAAATCATGCCAACCAATGCGGTATAAGAGAGCTACACAACTGAACCGTGAAAACAACCGATGCAGTCGTAAACCCAACGCACTTTGGCCTCGCTATTTCAGACCGTGGTAGCCCATTAGACAAGATAAATACATATCAGAGAAAAAAAATCCTCAATCTATTTCCTAAAACACACTGCAGGAGGGCAGTGCTGGTCGCACATTGAGAACTGGCTTCCTCCTAAAACAATTGCGCGAGTCCAGCGCGTGACGCATGCCTATTACCCCTCGGTCCCTTGATTACCATGCCATGTTATTGTCTGCTTTTTTTTCCTATCTGTGAGTGCCACACATTTCTTCTGTCCTCCATATAGCACATGTAGTAGTGTTATTATTATTATTTATTTTCGCTTGTCTTTTTGCTGCATGGCTGAAGGAAATCTACGTACGATTTTTTTATTTCCACACTGCAGAGCTCTTCTGTTTGGGGAATGTAATTGTTATTCATGGTGGCAGCTGTAACTTTAGCATCGCTGAATTAGGGTTTGAATAAAAACAATTATACTAATACATACCATTACATCAGTATCTGTATGTTATTCTATTGCGGTAGTGTTTTTGTGTAGTATAACATTTATGATGTGCTAGTCACCACTCCACTTTTTTTTTACTGACGCACTGGCACTGCCACATTACGGATCCTCTCAGCTATGTTCTAAATGCCAGGGTGTGCGGCTGTGTTCACTCTTTGAGATTTCCCCCACTGACTGGGTCATGATGCAGTGTGGTTTGTACGGGATCGTGAAGTCATGCTCATGCCCCACATCGATCTTGTGAAAAAAAAATTATCGGAAGCCAGGAAGCCATCTTTTCATAGCTGTTGCAGGTATCTCAGTTGTTTAGTTCATGCTAGTGTCTCCTTTTGGAATACATTAATTAACACATTTTCTATGAATTTGTTTCCTTTTGTTTTGGATTTTTTTTCACAATCTAAGTAGGTAGTGTAATGTGACAGTGTCTGTGCTTGTATAGCAATACATTTGGGTGGGACTAGCACTGCAACAAATGTTTAAACTGAACCACGCCAACATTGCAGACTCCCTGCCAAGCAGTCAAACTTTTCATCTCACTCCGCCATTCTCGGCTGTCCCTATCCTGTAAACATGAATGGATCCAGGGAAATCCTTCTTGGAAAGTTCTTCATGAAAAGTTTTCGACCACTTCTGCCAACATAATTAATTAATTGATCGGTGAATGTGCCAAGTGTTATAATTGAGTGACAGGGCGCATGGGCAGTGACTGGATTGTAAGCGCGTCTTCCTGTACCTGGTGTGTGCAGGACACGGCAGGCCAGGAACGCTTCCACGCACTTGGGCCTATCTATTACCGTGATTCCAACGGAGCCATTCTCGTGTATGACATCACGGATGAGGACTCCTTTCAGAAGGTATCGTTTCCCGCACCAGCTGTAAACCACCATATTTACTGTTTTACATTCACGTGTTTTAATTCTGGTTATGGAACCTGTGTGGACCTGTTTCAACTAGACCAGTTCCAAAATGAATCCTACCTGTCTCCGTGATCCCAGTGTTGTCTTGTTGAAGTCAACATTAACTAATAATTTAATCTTCATAATTTGTTACTTTAGGTAATGTGCTGTCACTAAATGATACCGCAATTTAAGGCTCTACATCCATTTACATTGTGGAGTCTGCCAAATACACACTGAACAGTTTATCAGGTAAGTCGTCATCTGATTACAGAATTGTCACATCCAGGTCGACTTACCCATGTTGTTGGTGCTGGGTTTTATCATGTTGAAACTATCTTTTTTTTATTTAACATGTGTGCATGACACGGATTGTATATTGGGGTCATAACCTCTTAATAAAATGCAAAAAACGTAATCTCTGCTATGTTTACATGCTTAATAACTGACTTGAATAAAGTATTTTATTCCAAACATGTTGCCTAGAACTAGTTTTCCTGATTCAATAAAATTAAGACCATAACGTTTACATTTTAATTGGAATTCAAGTTATGTTTAGCACTACTGTATTTTGAAAGGAATAAGCATGATAGGTATAATTACCCAATTTTCATTCATTATAATTTCACGCATTCCTATTAGGGATTATTTTAGAAATTGAAAGTATTTTGGAAATTAGCACACTTACCCTCTTCATACTTTGACATATAGACATTATATTCTTCTTTCGTATGGCTATAGATTGAGTAGCAGCTATAAATTAATGTCTACGTTGTAAATCTTCTGTCGGCTTCCAGGCACAGCAATTGTGAAACCACTCCTGTCTGAGAACGCTCTTTGAGAACGAGTTTACACCAACCCATGCACTTGCACAGAGACCCGTTGACTCGCACAAAGACCATATGCTCGCACAGTGACCCATCACAAATAAGTATATTTAAATAGGACAATGCAATTACTATATTTGTGTCTCATGAACTTAATTGACTTATTTTATATGTTTATCCAGAATTAACTATTATATATTATCCAGTATGTGTTTTGTGGAAAGTTGTCCGATTAGTACACTTTGCTACGTACGGTGCGAAAGACGTTAAACTTGCATGCATAAATATATTAGAGATTTCTGCTGTTGTACTTGTTCCCTTACTTATTAATTGCCCTATCATATGTTTGACATAAGATATGAATCACTTGTCACGTGTGAAGGACTCTTAAGACACTTGGCATAAAGGGCACTCTATCAAAAATAGATATTATTATTATTGCTATATCCAATAATTTCACTTGGATTTATGGGTTCCTAGCACAGTAAGGCTGACCAATGCACCACCTCTGCTTTCATTTAGAGTCTATTTATCCATTACAATCGTTGTACAAATGAATTGCAGCACAATGCTTTTGAATTGGATAGTGTGATGTATTACAAATTACATTTGCCATGTATGTTTGTGCTTCTATCTTTTCTTGCAGGTCAAAAACTGGGTAAAAGAATTAAGGAAAATGCTTGGAAACGACATCTGTTTATGTATAGTAGGTATGTCATTGTTCCAACATACATTTCAGACACTCATACAAAACATCCAAAAGGATACAAATCATGTTTGCGTGCATGCTGGTTTCCGTGAATGATTGTAAAGTAGGGTAGAGTGTGGTAAGTATAGTATAAAAGCCCTTGCAAAGTTCTGCTGACGTATTTCATCTTAACTTAAAATGAGACATTTATTGCACCTTCCTGTTGATGTAATAATTAAGTAAGCAGGGTAATACTGTATGTGTGCTTAATTATGCAGAATGTCAAATGAAACAGGAGCTCACAAGAATGTTTACAAAATATATTTTTGAAGTTTATGCTAGTGGAGGCTCAAATTAAACTCGGATTTTTCAAACAATGCGATATCAGCTATGCGCACAAATTGGGGCTAAACTATTCCAAATGTTTAAGTTGATTGCAGCTCAGTAGATATCTGCACGCTAAAAGAAGAGCAACGCGTGACAGTCTTTAGCCTTAGCATACTGCATTTAACCAATACGATGTTAAGGTATGTGGGAAGCTTTTAGCAACAAGGCCCATATTCATTATTATTTGCTTGTGAGCTTCAGTATATATGCAACAATACCCTAATTAGCACAGTTAGCAACGTACGGTGCAAAGAAGTTAAACGTACGTACATATAACTGATCGCTGTCACCAGTAGCCACTTGCATTACAGCAGAAAAAATGGGTAATGGGTTGACATGTTGTGCATTGGCACTTCTTAATCGTGAAAAGTGACTAACTATTGAGATGGTGATAGTACTTTTCACTGAGGGGTCTAGAGAAAACTAGGGCATTTAAAAATACAATTACAAATAGACGCTTATTGAATTGACGAATGAACAGTTTTCCATTGGTTGAAACCGAGTGTAATAAGAAATGCCACGCTGATGGAGAAGCCTTTGTTATGATACATGATGTGAACCCTTTGCTGTGTTAAGCCACACCTCAATTCAGTAGCTGTGAACGTGGATACCTCCACAATATACAAGCCCTCAATGTATGTAAACAGGATTAAAATATTTATAAAATGTTCTTACATTCATTTCTCTCTCATACGTTGATAGTTACTTATTTTATTATTTTTATCAAGACGATGTAAACAATACTAGCTTATTATCCTTTCCTGCAAGAATACAGGTTTTAAAATGTTCAAACACCACAGACACCTATCACAAGACATAAAGTCTGCATGAACCACACATGCTTGTGGTAAAACATGCAAATAGTTTATACATAGCTATCTCCAACTCGGCCCACAAACTTTTGGTACAGGACTGACCATTAAGTATGCAGATTTGAGTGCTCCAAAACGCTGCTGATACATTCATAACAAAGGGAAAAGCCCTTTTACAATATTAAGCAAAGAAATACGAACAGAGGAATAATTTTTAGAATGATGTATGGCAAGTCAAATGTGTCATTTGCCTAGTAAATCATGAAAGCACATTCCTGTGACCTGTATAAAATGGTGTTTGAGCTTGCTGCATTCATTTTGTAAATGTACGATGTTTGTTTTGTGCACAGGTAACAAGGTAGACCTTGAGAAAGACAGGCATGTGTCCGTGGAGGAAGCTGAGGAGTGAGTACTTAAATAAACAATATTTAATGCGTGGAGATATCTGTGCTTTCTCTACTTTAAAGATACATTTTTACTTTTACTCTTATTTGTAAACGTCCCTTTTCACTGTAAATCCTGTTATCGTTGGAGAACAGCCAACGATATGATTTTTGCTGTTATTCACTTACGGCAGAATATTTTCAGACACAATTGTCGAATGCATATGAGCGTCATTGTTTTGCTATAGTTTATGCTCATTAGTTCTACATAATCAAGGGGTCCAATACACTTGCATGACACGTTACGAATTATACGCAAAAATAATAAGCCATGAAAATGCCACGAATGCTCTGGTGATATTCCTCATTCCACTCTTCTCTTGCTGGGGGCATTTATTTTCAGGTGAGATCGGGCTTGCGTTGACAGCTTTCTCTCTAATGCAGACTGGAGGAAGTTTCTATACCTCGGAGTGTAATGTCACATCTTACATCAAATCTTAAAGTACTCGCTTGTCTAGTTGTCATCCTCCACTTGAAAAGGAGTTTACATTTTTATCATTTTGCACTCTGCGAGCAGTCAAATAGCCCCTATGATCCACTCAGGTGTGACGGGACCTACAGCCAGCAGTCCATTGACATAAGGGCTCTGTAAATCTCCACATGTACTTCTTCAACAAAATTTCTGAGGTTCAATGGACTCTCCTCATCAAAGTGCAAGAATGCAGCAACTTGAACCACTCCCACACTTTAGTCAGTTTTGACACGATGTTTTTATTTTCATTCATATCATCGCAATATGTTTCAGGATCTAAATGCCAATGTCGGGGTCTACTAGCCACGATGAGAGGGCTGATTTAGTGTAGTTTTGATATTCCTCCGTTGAATGAGCATAGACGACGGTGGTTTGCTTTTGTGTTCCATATTTTGGGTGAGATAGCGGTCACCTCGCAGTGACCCCCCTCACCTGTTGTACCTTTCTGTGTCACCTTAAACACAACTCGTACTGTCAATATTGGAGAAATGGACCATTGCCACCTTAATATAGCATAGAGCGGTGTTCCTTGCATAGCTGAAGACCCCCAAAAGGTTGAGACCCCCCCCCCCGTCTCAGCAATTAGATGGTTACTGTGTGCAAATGTAATTCCCATATTTGGAGCATTGCCTGAATTAATTTGCTTGAGTAACATTTTCCTTGAAGGTTGACTTGTCTAAACACCCCTATGCTGAGCGATGAGGAATTCTTCTTGTATCATATTTCCATGGTGGTGTGTATAGGGAGTTGATAATCCCAACCATTTCAGAGAATCATCTTCTTGGTTCTTTCGGTAAAGTCACGTAGAAGGGAAGTAATAAAATAATAAAAATAAAACATAATAAAACAATTCTCACGACGTTTCGGCCACAACGCAAGCAGCCGTCCTCAGGTGAAAACCAGGTCCGCCGAGGCGACAGAGTCTGAATGAAACAGCACACGGGCTTAGAGCATATATATAAGCTGGGCGCATTGACAAAGGAATTTGCATATCAACAGGAATTTAGCATATTTATGGGAAATGCAGGAATGTAATTAGTACTGCATATGCATGTGCATTATGCAGGATTAACAGCATCAAAGGGAGCTGCAGTTACTGCTGCTGCAGCAGTTGCTGCTGCTGCTGCAGTTTCTGCTGCTGCTGCAGTTTCTGCTGCTGCTGCAGTTGCTGCTGCTGCTGCAGTTGCTGCTGCTGCTGCACTTGCTGCTGCTGCTGCACTTGCTGCTGCTGCTGCACTTGCTGCTGCTGCTGCACTTGCTGCTGCTGCTGCACTTGCTGCTGCTGCTGCACTTGCTGCTGCTGCTGCACTTGCTGCTGCTGCTGCAGTTGCTGCCTTATCCATTTTAATATAACACTATGTATTATTCTACCCACCCTAATGTGTATCATACTGCTATATGTTTACTGTACAATTACGACACCATACATTACTCTGCACACTGCACCATGCCAGTGAGTGGAACGCGGTCTGAAAGTCACCGTTAACGTGAACACAATCAGTTAAGATCCGAAATGGTTTATTACGTCCTTCCAATGATTGCTAAGCCAGAATCCATCTTCTCGGTTGAAATTGTCTCTGTGTTTGTATATGTGGATCGCCTCATGAACGAATCTCTCATGATAGCCAGATGGCTTGCAGAGAACCTCTGTCTTGGAGAAGTCAATGTCATGTGAGCCCACTAAATTGTAACAGTGATCTGCCACGGCTGAGGTGTTTGTCCTACCGTGTTTCAGGTCTGCCTTATATCCGCAAAGCCATCACTCCAACCATCAAGAAGGATCCTGTTGAGGAGCCTTTCAAGACCATCACCTTACCCTACATTGCTGGGGTCACAAAAAAGATCTCCAAAATCCTGATTAAACACAAGATCCAGGTCCGATTCAACACAGTACATAAAATCCGTGATCTGGTCCCGTCTGTAAAAGATGTGGTTCCAGACATACAGTACCCTGGCTTCTACAAACTAAGTTGCCTCTGTGGTAGCAGTTACATTGGAGAAACCAAACGACATGTCTCGGACCGCATCCGTGAACATAAGGCAGACCTGAAACACGGTAGGACAAACACCTCAGCCGTGGCAGATCACTGTTACAATTCAGTGGGCTCACATGACATTGACTTCTCCAAGACAGAGGTTCTCTGCAAGCCATCTGGCTATCATGAGAGATTCGTTCATGAGGCGATCCACATATACAAACACAGAGACAATTTCAACCGAGAAGATGGATTCTGGCTTAGCAATCATTGGAAGGACGTAATAAACCATTTCGGATCTTAACTGATTGTGTTCACGTTAACGGTGACTTTCAGACCGCGTTCCACTCACTGGCATGGTGCAGTGTGCAGAGTAATGTATGGTGTCGTAATTGTACAGTAAACATATAGCAGTATGATACACATTAGGGTGGGTAGAATAATACATAGTGTTATATTAAAATGGATAAGGCAGCAACTGCAGCAGCAGCAGCAAGTGCAGCAGCAGCAGCAAGTGCAGCAGCAGCAGCAACTGCAGCAGCAGCAACTGCAGCAGCAGCAGAAACTGCAGCAGCAGCAACTGCTGCAGCAGCAGTAACTGCAGCTCCCTTTGATGCTGTTAATCCTGCATAATGCACATGCATATGCAGTACTAATTACATTCCTGCATTTCCCATAAATATGCTAAATTCCTGTTGATATGCAAATTCCTTTGTCAATGCGCCCAGCTTATATATATGCTCTAAGCCTGTGTGCTGTTTCATTCAGACTCTGTCGCCTCGGCGGACCTGGTTTTCACCTGAGGACGGCTGCTTGCGTTGTGGCCGAAACGTCGTGAGAATTGTTTTATTATGTTTTATTTTTATTATTTTATTACTTCCCTTCTACGTGACTTTACCGAAAGAACCAAGAAGATGAATCCCTGCAGTCACGAAAGCTTTAAATCGAAACATTTCAGAGAAATCGCCAAAATGTCCGCATGTCGTAATGACTGAAAAGGTGATGTGGAGATGTTCCTGTTCCACTGTCGGGATACTATGATGCTGTCGTGGATGGATGACGTGGCATTCTGGGTGCAGTGTGAAATTTTGTTTATGCGGAAATTCGATTTTATTAATCGAAAAGTGTATTATTTGTCAATCGCATTAATGCAAATTCCATAAACTAAACGTTTGAAAATCGAGCAATACCTGGAACAGTATTTCCATTAATTAAGATTCCACACTAAATAGCACCGACTACATTCAAGTTAATTTGATTCAGAAGCTTAAATGAGGCATGAATATGCCTGAACATAAGAGGATATTTATATCTCACTGTATTTAGCATGTGCCTCGCCCCCTGTGTCCCACTTGAGGGACCTGGTGCAGTGTGCCAAACCAGCGCTGAGAATGCTACGCCATCTGGGCCTGGTGCTTACTCCAACACTCTCGCGTTATTGGCCATTGAATACGAGTGCTTACAGCAATTACTCGAGCATTTTCCCCAAGCTATGACCTAATGTCTGTGTGTTTGCCTGTGTTCATAGGTACGCAACGTCAGTAGGAGCCAAGCACTTTCATACATCCGCCAAACAAAACAAGGGCATCGAAGAGCTCTTTCTGGACCTTTGCAAAAGTACAGTAGCTATTCCAAAAAATATCTCATGCATGTTCTTTGGTTGTTTGAGAATATAAGTGCTGATCAAAACCTATACCATTGTATATTGTTCCCTTAATGATGAATATATATTATTATTTTATTATAATTATGAGCCCTACAGTCTGATGTTGACAATAGATCCTGAGCCTATTGTGCCATTTGACAATATGGAAATCATCTCAAGAGATTCCCACTGTCTCATGTTGAAGTCAAAGTGCCTGCATGGTCAAATGAGGATTGGGTGACTCTTTGTCCACTGCTATAAATTTACTTTCCTAAAAGCAGGGGCCAGTCTCTCCATAGGTTACCCACTGTCAATTTCCCACATAATACAAGAGGTGTTAAGAGGTTCAAACACCAATTGGGCACCTATTGCAAAACATCTGCATGAACCACACATGCATGTGGTAAAACATGCAACAAATGTGCTTTTATAATATATGTATTGTCTTTGAAACTGATTGGCCTCCTTTATAGCCTTGTCTCGCCAGTGTTAGACGAGAGAATGCCAAATGGTGAACGGCTCAAATGCAATGCAAATATCAACACACTAAGACCTTTGGCTGAACGGTTATATTTATGTGACCATATTGTAATGGTATCAAAATATTTTAAAAAGTCTATATAAACTTTTTTATTTTACCAGGTAAGGTCCACTGAGCTATATAGCTCTTTTTCAGAAGCAACCTGGCTTCAAACGATAGCTCAACGATGTGGCTTATCACGTGTAAATGTATAGCAGCCAAATCCTCAATGCATGTTTATAAATGTGGAGGGAACAAACGGAGGCCCCGGAGATAAATCCACACAAACCATGGGGAGATAGACACGCAAGCTCCAAATATACAACAGTCATCAGGGTCGGGATCAAACCCACGACTTTCTGTATACCAGGCGAGGTAGTTAACACCTCGCCACTGCGGAATCCTTTTAAAGTAGGGACATCAGTGATTGGGATTCCAATGACGACAATGACTACGATGATGATAACAACGGTGTGTGTTTAAGGAATGCTGGAGACGGCGCAGTCGGAGGAGAGTGCGGAAAGGGAACGGCGCGTCCCGTGGCGGCAGCACGCGGCGCGGGGTGCAGATCGTAGACGACGAGCCCCAGCAGCAAGGCTCCGGAGGCTGCTGCTCCTCCTGAGCCCGTCCCACACTCCTCCTCCTTCCTCAACAACCACCTCCACCACCATTGGGCCCTTTTTACAACAACTTGGAAGTCGCTCCATGCATGTTCACCGACAGTGCTTGAACTGGCAAGCAAGCATGAATGCTCATCCGTCGTTTATCCGACGTGAATCTCAAGTGTGGGGGGTGATGCTGATCTGGCTTAGTCGGTTGCCTGAGAATCTGGCTTGAGAATCTTGATGGGCATAGACGTAAGCAATTTGTAAGCAGTGCGCGCAGTGCAGCTGCCTCATCGCTTTGCGGAACAGCTTATACATCAACATTATACGTGTTGACATTTGAACATGAAACAATATTTACAATCTAAATTAAAAAGTTTAGCCAATGAAATTTCCTGAAAAATGTATGTCAAAATATAATAATAAATTAAGGCAGAGCAAGCACCGCGTGTTTATCTTTCTGTAAACATCCTAACGTGGGGCGCCTCGGACTCTTACTTAAAAATTGGCGATTTAATTGCATTAAGACCTGTTGTAAAAAGGGCGATTAAAATAGCAAATTTATGATGAACATGACACCCTTTAATTATTGGAGTGCCATGTTGCTGAGAAGTCATTTTATAACTTTTGACACCTGTAATTCGCACTAGTGTTCTCCCACAACGATAGAAGATGTACAACCCTTCCGGATTAACAGACCACCAACTTTTTGTGTGCTTCGTAGGCATTTGTAAGGGGTGTCTAACAAAGTATCCCTTCTGTGTTTTCCTTTCAAAATGTTGGACAACTGCTATCTTTACTGACAAGACACAAACCATGGTTGTACCTGGACACATGACATGTTGCATATTAAGAGTATTGGCGAATTAAATTTGTTAAAAAATGCACGGCATTTTCTCCATCACTTGGCATGAATTTGTGCTTAGGATGAATAACAGGGAAGTTGTAATCTATTTCACATGCACCAAGGACCCCAATATAGTTTCATTTTAAACTTTTACATTTGCAAAACAATATTCGTAAGAAATTGTTGAAGCTGGCCTAAGTCTGAAGTTTCCACCCTCAAGCCTGCATATCTCTTGCATCTCCTGTGTTTCTCCACTCAATACATTTGCCCCCCCTCCCCACCCCCTTCAGGTGTTCTCCGCGTACAACGAACGCACTTCTGTTTTTCCAAATAATGTCTTGCGTGTTTACATTGCTACATCCGTGCTGTGTTCTGGGTCAACAATGTATTTTCTTCAATTATTAAGAGCATTAATGCTACAAATAAAATAAAAATCACATTCGGGTTTTATATACGAGTAAAGAAGCATATACATACTAATAAATTGATATCAATTCAGCTTGAGTAATGAGACATTTCACGAAACACCCTAGGAAATTATGCATGCAGTGTTTAGCCATTTGGAAGAATTGAAAGGTCATATTTCCAGATGCCTCTGACCCATAACGCTGAGATCTTGGACATGTCAGTGTTGCTAAAATTAGACGTGGATTTGGCATGCATTGGCTTGATTAGAAGTTTCCTGGCCAATGGAATAGAATATTGTTACATGCTGGTATGCCCCCTTTTGGTGTCGTTCGAAGTCCTGTTGTTAAATATTGATTGTATGACTTAATTACTGCTGTGTTAAAGTTTATTTAGTTGAAAACGACATTTTCTCTATATGAAAAAGATGTTGCGATGTGGTTGTTAATAAAGCTGCAACTTTAAAGTGACTTTTGAAGGACAAGATCCCTCGCTGGAGGAGCAGTGCAAGTAGTGTGTTAAGATGCTGCACTGGGAAGGCTACAGCAGACAGCTGTTTTTGGAAATTGTCGAGCGATGATACTCGTAGATATCGGCACTATCCTGTAAAAATGTTGGCGTCTTATTTGTAATGGACAGCCAACATTCAAGCCCCTAGCATTTTGGTGTGGAACGCACATTAGGAATTTGAAACTATATCAACTAAAATTGTAAAACTCAATACTGTAGTTTTTAATTCGGCATTGAAAATGTATACGGCACATTTTGTATTTGTGATGGTGATATCTGGGTATGCATACAGGGGTTTCTTCAGACAGATGGTGAGTAGGAAGCGGAATGCCGACCTTCAACTTGTATGTTGATAACTGTGGCTTGCCTAATGACAGGATACATCGTGGTACTTTTTACACACGTCATCCCTATTCGTTGTGTCCAGAATCCCTTGAAAGATATAAGGCAAATGCAAACTCTCACGTCTTGCCACAAAAAAATACCTATTGCACCGTTTATCCATTTGCTTTTTTAATTTAATTCTCAGTGCTAAACTATGTTAATTGACACTTTCTTTGAGTTTGTGGCAGCTGGAATTTTTGACCATACAGTAAAGGTTTTTCAATACACACCAGAAAATGGTAATTTTTGTTGTCGGTTTCTCAGATAAAGTATCCATTTTGCCGAGCTGCCAGCATGTGATGCGGAGTTCGGCACGATGGGGGTATTTGGGATATAAAAGTGCCATTTGATCTGCCAGTGCTAGTGTCAACTTTTCTAGTGCTTTAGGCAAAACAGCCCCCTCGATTCAAAAGGTTTTAAATTATTATTCTGAAGGCTTGATCCAAATTAGTTTTTCAGGGGAAGTATTTATTTTTAGGAGGGGTGTTAATATTTCAGTTGCCTTGGATGCCCGACTAACTTGACGTTCAAAAAACCATTGAGTGCATTCTCCCGTCTCGTCACTTAAAACCCTGACATTGAGAAGGGAAGTATTTAATCAAATCCACATTTTAACTGGCATTTGATGCTTAATTGTAACACTACTGTATAATAATTAAAAAAAACCTGTATAGGTTAAATAAAAATGGGAAATAATTATTTTCCTTAAATCTATAAGATTGCCACAAGGCCATTTGGAGGACGGTTCATCCAGGTGACATGCCAGTCACTGGACACAGGCTTGGATCAGGCACGCTTCCAGCAGGGAAGGTCCCTTCCCCATTAAGACTTGTACATGGCTCTGCAGGCTGCCGTTTCTCCACAGTTAAAAAGAACGCACGCTACATGCATGTTGTGCATGCTGCTGTTGGGTATTCTCGATTTGTGCAGACTGTAATTGACACTTGTAAAAGTATTATTTAAAATACAGCATATAAAGTATTTTACTCATGTTTCACTTACAAGATTTGCATCGTTATTGTGTGTATAATTCTGAAGTTTTACGGCTGTGTAATTTTAATCACAGGATAGGAACACTACAATATTATGGTACTTTTTTATTTGACCAGAATATATTATAACAGGGTGAATCGGTGGCACTAAATTGTTGTTTGAGCATCGTGCTTGGAGCCCTAACAACCACAGTTCAATTTACAACCACAGCTGACATCAGTGGCAAATTATATATTTACCAGTGCTGGGAGCTACTTCTCTCCTGTCCTTCAACCCATTATTGACCAGCATGGTGAAGTATGGTCAGAAAATCCCCATGACCGACAGAGTAAAATAATGAAGGGCTGATGAATAAATAACAGTTAATTCACAGGTACTATGCGGAGGCAAAGCCATGTACGGGTAACATTGCTGCTCCTTGCAGAAATGTGTTGCCTATTAAGAGGGGAGCTCATGACTTCAAACGAGAGACTCAGCGACACAGACACATAGAAGCCAAGTGACACGGAGACAGACGCAACAACGGACACTTCGCCACTAAGTGGCAATGATGTCACCACAGCTTTTGTTCCAGGCTAGGTGCACTGAGGCAATGTCAAGTGTTGAAGGTTCGCTGACAGGAGGTCACGGGATACCCAGGTGTTTTGGGTTAACTGACCGAGACGACGGACACATGCGCACCACCTTTTCTTACCACTGCCAACTTGCTGCATTTTAATCACCTGACGCCCCGCTCGTTGCTTCTTCCACAGAGGCCGATCCTGACACTTGGTACCGGGTACTGGTGATAGGCAAGTCCACTCAACTCCACATCCTCCTATACCGCATCAACTCATTTCTTCTCCAACCCGTGCCGCACCCGTTTAGCTCCCTCTATCCGGCCAAACAGAAGTTTGGGCATGCGGTGGCTGAGCATGTGGGTTTCATGACCTCGCCAAGGAAGCCACGTCTGCCGAATGAGGTCACCGATGGGGCAGTCCAGATACATAACATAGATATACACATTTTCTTAAAGTTGTTGTGAAGATGATCTAAGGTCCAACACGTCAAGCGGCCAGCAATAAACAGCACTAACAAAGCTGTATAATATTAAAGAGATAACATGTTTTTGGAGAAAGGTTATCAAGTGCTTGCGAAATGGGATGATGGGAGGCTATTCGAAAGTGAAGCAGTGTGAGAGAAGAAATATAATCAGAAGTGTTGTAAATTGCAGTTAGGCCTCGGCAAGGTAAGGTAAAAGTTAAAAGGTAAAAACAATGAGCCTACCTTTACCCTACCTTTTACCAGAGGTGGGACAAAGTCATTGATGACTTGAGTCTCAAGTCATCAAATTCATGACTCGAGTCTGACTCGAGTCCAAGTCACATGACTCGAGTCCACACCTCTGCCTTTTACCCTTACCACAATACAATCGCTCTACCCTACCTTTTACCCTTTAGCAGGTAAAATAAAAGGTAAAAAGCAACGAGCCTACCTTTACCCTACCTTTTACCCTTACCCCATAAAAATTACCCGATTACAGGGTAATTACTAGGGAACTACACATGAACAAGGTTTATAACGGTAAATGCTAGGCAGAGCGCTTTATTCATATAGAATACTCTCGATGATTCCAATTCTACACGCTTGTTATTGTTGTTGTCATTGTTGTCGTAACCTCAAATCTTGTAACTCAATTTTTACCCACTTCCTAATGTGGTATCGACTGCAAACGTGGTATACTTATGTCATACTGATGACAATACTATATTCTATCATAAAAATATATATATTTGAATTTTATTTTTTACATGTTATGTTTCGGCTTTCGTTTAATTGTTCACGTTCAACCGACGTTGGCTGTAAATCACCACGGCCCCTTACGTTATGGCAAGTTTCGGGCCACTTCCTGGAGTCGTGGAGTTCTGCCATTACTCGTACATTTCATTAAAGCGTGTTTTTAAAAAAGTTTTTTGTTTAATATTACTTATTAAATGGAGGCCACGGACTGCTCCACGGGGCTTTTAGCGGTAAAGAAGGCACCGTATATACGGGGTAATACTTCGCGCTTCCTT